GTGGCAGCACCTAGACAGTGACAGCGCCCAGACAGTGGCAGCACCCAGACGGTGACAGCGCCCAGACGGTGACAGCCGCCCAGACGGTGACAGCTACCCAGACAGTGACAGCGCCCAGACGGTGACAGCTACCCAGACAGTGACAGCGCCCAGACGGTGACAGCGCCCAGACGGTGACAGCACTCCCAGACAGTGACAGCGCCCAGACGGTGACAGCACCCAGACAGTGACAGCACTCCCAGACAGTGACAGCACTCCCAGACAGTGACAGCACTCCCAGACAGTGACAGCACTCCCTCCTGGAGAGGAGACGAGCCCAGGCCCACAGGAGGGAGAATTTTAGTGCGGACGCAGCATGAGCAGCACCGGCCCACGTCTCCTCTCGGCCCTTGTCACTCGGGCGATTTCCTGACCGGCTCTCTGGGCCTCAGTGTCCCCATCTGTAAAGTGGGGAGACCTGGCAGAGTCGCCTTAAAAAGGGAGGGGGCTGCGACAGGATCGGCCTGAGGACGTGAAGCCAAGCGAAATAAGCCAGGGAGGAGGAGGCAGACGCTGAGCGAGTCCACCACCCGGGCCGAGAGTCGCCAAGCGCACAGAGACAGGAAGTGGAACGGGGGCGGGGCTGGGGGTTCATGCTTCGTGGGGACAGAGTGCCGGTTGGGGAGACGAGAAAGTTCTGGAGGCGGATGCTCGGAGGACCGCACGGCAGGATGGATGTGTTTGATGCCACCAAAGCACACGCTTGCAAATGGGTGAGACGGGCGAGGCGCGGCGGCTCACACCTGTCACGCGAGCACTTTGGGAGGCCGAGGCAGGAAGGGAGGACTGTCCTCCGCCACCGTGCTCGGCCTCCGTGAGCCCTCAGTGGATGGGGACCCTTGTGCTCCTCCTCTTCATCAGCACCCTCGTGCCATCTGAGGTCCCTCCCAGACCCGAGGCTCCAGGACCCCAGGACCCCGAGGGCCCCCAACTCGCTCACCGTACTTCTGGACTTCGAAGGACTTGTTGTACACGTGGCCTTGCACCTCGACAAAAATGAGCCACTCTCCCAGCACGGGCTGGTCGGACAAGGGGAAGCTCACGTTGGTGACGCCTGCGTCAAGAGAGACGAGGACATTTGCAGGGAGCCACCAGTGAGCGGGGGCCTGGCCCTGGCACCAGCAGCAGTGGGGTCCAGGAAGAGGGACCTGGGACCCTGCTGCTCCCAATGCCCCGGCAGCCCCCAGGGAGGGCGGGAGGCCACGCAGAGGCTGGGGCAGGGGGGTCTGTGAGGAGCAGGACGCAGAGGGGAGGGGGGTCTGAGACCCCCACGGGCTGAGGGAGGGACCCGGGAAGAGGCTGCGGCAGCACCTCAGGCTCCTGGGAGAGCCGGCGGCCAAGGTCAAGTGCAGGCTGGGAGCTGGGCCAAGGTCAAGTGCAGGCTGGGAGCTGGGCCAAGGTCAAGTGCAGGCTGGGAGCTGGGCGAGTGGGGAGACGGCTGGCCTTGGCACTATTGACACCGGCCGGGGCAGCATTGTCCTCTGGGGTGGGCGTCCAGTGCGGGGCCCCCGGCCTCCACCCAGCAGCTGCCAGGAGCACCGCCCCCTCCCCCACCCCAACGACGGCAACCTGCACGGTCTCCAGTGTTGCCAGCATCCCAGGGGCAAAGTCACCCCCGCGTGGGAACCGCCGAGACAGATGGCCGGGTGGACAGGTGGGTTGGGACCGGGCAGACCACCACCCTCCAAACACCGCCCCAGAAACGCCGTCGGCCTCTGGCACGGGAGGTCCCCTTTGCTCTGGGTCCCACCCCGAGCCCGGCCCGGAGCTCTGCTTTCCCACCGGGAGCTGGCGGAGGGGTTGGACCGTGCACGTCAGCTCCACGCCGCTGGGGGGGGGGTCTTCCGCCCCTGAGTGTGACATGCTCCACTCGTCCCCCGTGGTCAGACAGGGAGGACAGTGCCCAGGGACCGGGCAGACCCCAGAGACCACGGCGGCACCCACAGCTTCCCCCCATCACACCGGAATGGGTGGGACAGCTAAGACGACCCTTTCCCCAAATATTCAGAGAAGGCTTTGATGACTGGGGGACATTTGAGGGAGGGTGTTGGGAACACACGCTTTCTAAGGAGCCTGTGGCCAACATCCCCAAATGTCCCCTGAAAGAGGTACAAAATCACCCTGGTTGAGAACCCTTTGTCTACACACATCCCAAGGGGGTTGTTGTTTTAATTATTTTTTAGAGATGGGGTCTTGCTATGTTGCCCAAGCTGGTCTCCAACTCCTGGCCTCAAGCGATCCTCCTGCCTCAGCCTCCCGAGTCACTGAGACTACAGTCCATCACACCCAAGGGGTTTTTTTGAAAACAGGAAGTTGACCACTCCCCTCCTCTGTGCTCCTAAGATCGAGTCCATACTCTTCCCTGGCTCTCACTGACCTCACCCCTGCTCTCAGCTCTCCCTACACCCAGGCCTCTGTCTGGCCTCCAGCCTCACTCCCCCAGTCACTGGCAGCCCTTCCCAAATGCAGGGTCCCTGCCTGGAAAGTGCTTCCTGGCCGCTAGCTTTGCCTGGCTACCTCCTGTTCCTTCTTCACTTTTGTCACCAAAAAGATGTCTCTTCCAGGCAGCCTTCTAGGATTGCCACTACCACCCTAGGCTGGGATAGAGTCCCATTTTGCCCTCTCTGCATCTGGACTTCCTCACCCTAGCACTCATCATAACTGACCTTACCTGGGCTGTTTAGTTAGTGTTTGTTTCCCCCATGGGACTGGGGGCTCACCCATCCCAGTAGCTACAAGGTCCTCAGCAAGTGTCTGCTGGCGGGAAGACGGCGGGCCAGGGCGAGAGGGGGAGGGACGAAGGCAGAGAGGGGCGATGGAACAGAAAAGAAGGGCCGAGCACCGGGGCAGGAGACGGGAGGAGGCGGGCGGGGGTCACCAAGAGACCCCTGTTAGTCCCGCCTTCTGGACAGCCCCAGTGTGTGCACAGCTGTCCTC